GGTGCAATTCTTGTCTAGTTTGGTGCTTGCATGCATATTATTTTTAATTTAAAAAATTTGGTCAAGCTTTCTAATCCTAAATTACCATTTGTCAATTACAACTATTATTATATGGTAATTCATCTAGTTTTTGTGACATGATTGTTACTTTTAAGTTTTCTTGTTCGTGTTGTTGGCATTTTGATATGTTGCTATCATGTCTGGTAATCCTTGGATTTATGGAGGTTGCAGGTTGTATGGGGGAAAATTTCTATGGTTGATGCAGAGAGACGATTATTGGCACATGCTCTGGAAGATTCCGATAACCAACATTTTGTGTTACTTTCTGATAGGTAAATATAGTTTTGTTTTGCCCCCTCTCGAACCCCAGAGTATTTCTTTAGACTAACACCAAATTGCGATATTGCAGCTGTGTTCCATTGCATAGTTTTGACTATGTCTACGACTATCTGATGCATGCTAATATGAGTTTTGTTGACTGGTAAGTAAAATTTTAAGAGAGAATGACAGAAACTCAGAGCACTGTTTTCCGTTGTTTGACATGTCGTGCCTACCCCCCCCCCCAAACAAAAAAAAACAGCTTTTTGGATCCTGGACCACATGGAAATGGCAGGTATTCAGATCACATGTTACCTGAAGTAGAAAAGAAAGACTTCAGAAAAGGTGCACAGGTATGTCTGAATTGATATGATATAAAGCATTACACTACAATAGGTCAATCTGAATGGTAATCTGTAGCTGGGACATGTTGATGAACTTTATGACACTGAACTATTATGACAATATGAAGCCAATGCATCTGTGCTGGTATTCTGTATTTTGTCATATTTGATCCCCGATCCCCCAATCCCCATAGTTGATGCATTTGTGTATTCCCATTTTGAATTTCGCTCTCCTGTCCAGCTTCAAAGTCTCTAAGCATTCAGTATACCTCTTTAAACCAACTTATTCAGTAGTGACTTGCTGGGGCAATAAATAATTGAATTTTGTGCAGTGGTTCTCGATGAAGCGACAGCATGCTCTGATAGTTATGGCTGACAGTCTTTACTACTCAAGGTTCAGGGACTACTGCAAGGTGAATTAGATCTTAAAATATTGTTTGATAATCTGTTTTCTTTTTCCTTTTTGAGTGTTAAAGAACTTCCTTTGATTTATGGATGGGAGAGAGTCCGTTCATTTTATAATAGCAGAATGGTTTTTCAATATTATTAAGTAGAGCGATGAATATTGTTGAATTCTAAAGCCTTATTAGGGATATAATAGACATTTTTGTATTCTCGCTACTATTTGTTCAGTAAGGCTGGTCTCAGTTTGCATGACCAATATTTACCTATCTTAACTTTTAGCATTAGCACAAAGACAACATTTCTAGATGTAAATGGCATGACTGTGAGCCCAAGATAAAATAAGCACTTTGGAAAGTGGAGTTTCTACAAACTCTGGATTTATAATAAATTTGAGATCAGGTTAGGTGTTATTTTTGGCATAAACTTAATCTGTCCAGGTTTGTCCTGGCAGATTTTAAGGTTTCCTTTAGTTCCTTAGACTGTATAGTAAGGGCAGAACTAATTCCTAATAGGAGTGTAAATGAGTTAAGAAACTCCCTTTTCAAAGAAAAAAGAGTTACGATACTAATGAGCTACACTCAAGTTTGGCTCGGAAAAAGCTTGAACTTGACTTGGTAATTGTCTAGCCGAGCTCTAGCCGTGCTAGCCAAATTCAAGCCTATCAGTGCTTGGCTCAACTGGCTCGTGCACCTACTCTAGCCTTTTCTGAAAAAAATGTTTTTTGTTATAATGGTATTATGCAAGAAAAGTATTTTGCTGACTTCTTGTGATTCATATTCTTGATTATTACAGCCAGGTTTCGATGGCAAAAATTGCATCGCAGATGAACATTACCTGCCAACCTTTTTCAGTGTGAGAATCACTCTCTGGATCATGTTTCCTACTTTTCACTTTAGCTTCTCCTAATGTTTTCTTGGGGGGTACCATCAGATGCTTGATCCTGGAGGTATTGCCAACTGGTCTGTAACACATGTCGATTGGTCTGAGAGGAAGTGGCACCCTAAGTCGTATAAGGCTCAGGATGTTACTGAGGCTCTTCTGCAGAATATCACGGTATGCGTGTTTGTCTTTTTATTTTCGAGTAACACCACTTTCTGCTTAACGACTTACCACCTTGACTTTTGACCGATATATTGAAAATGTTTGGTCCCTTTGCATGATGATAAAATCTTACATTATTCGTCACCTGGAATACTATAGTAGACTTGGGTTGCCAATATTGATGAATTTAGGTTTTTTGCATTATATTTTTGCAGTCGATTGACATGAGTATCCACGTAACAAGTGAAGCAAAGGTATACATTTCAAACACTTCCTCTCATGCTTTCACGACTCGTTAAAATTACGGGATTCTGAATATAGTTTCATTCTTTCCCGGTTGTTCGCAGAGTGTAGAACTGGTACAACCTTGCCTCTGGAATGGTATCAAACGGCCATGTTACCTATTTGCAAGGAAATTCTATCCCGAAACCGTAGATAAACTGATGACGCTCCTCAATTTTTGACTGTGAATTCTTTGGTCGGTTTTTCTCGATCCTTCCGCTCCATCCTCGGTTTCACACACAGATTATATACATTTTGTAAATGGCCAATGTTTCCGATGCTGCAATTATAGAGTCCTAGGGCGACAGGAAGAGCAGTTAGGATCGACTTGAATTAGGCCGGAGGGGAGGCTAATTGTTAGTGTTGGCTCCTTCCAGATGGGTAATTCCTTGTCCATTTACCCCCCAAATTCAGCCATCTATACATTATTACTATTGCCATTATTATTATATATGTGAAAGAATAGTGGGGGACTCATTTTTTTGTGTAAAATTTGGAAACAAGACTGATGCACTCTTTTTTTCTGGAAAATAGAAAGCCTAATTTTAAACTGTTCGCACCTTGTTATATATATTTCTTTATTGATCTTCATTTTAAAATTGTTATCTATTTATTTATTTTTGTCAAACTATGATCTTCATTTTAAATATTTTAATTTTTTTAATTTTATCTTCAAATTATTAGCATATGTTAATCACATCTTTTATTAATAAATTCGTTAAAAAATTATTAATTATTATGCAAGCAATAATGTGTATTATATAATATTATGATGTTACTTAAATAGTAACCAATATTGCATCAGGTCTCAATTTTTTAATTTTGTTTTTCAGATTTGTTTATGTTTTTTTTGTTTCAAAATTAAATTATTATTTTTATTAAAACCTAACCTTAGTTATTGTTTTTGTCGTATTATATTATTTCATAATATATATCATCGTTTATATGATGGTTAACAATTTTTATAACGGCTTTATTAAAATGAAATATTATTTATATAATTCGAGGATGAAATCAAAATGTTTAAAAATTTGAGCTCAATTTAGAATGAGGGTTATAATTTAAGGATAAAATTAAAATATTAAAAAATTTGATGACCAATTTGAAGATGTGTGATGTAAATAAATAAATATAATAGAGAATACATCATATGAAAAATACCTCTAGGGGCTGCTGTATTAAGACTATGAAAATTATATTGTACCAACCAATCACATAATTTCCGTCCAAATTGAAACATCATGTAACTGTTTTCAATCATTTTCTTTTTTTCTTTATAGACACGTTTAAAAGAAAATATATATTTTTTATATATAAAAACAAAAATTAAAAAAAAAATACTTTATCAGTTGACATTTTTATTCTACTCTATCGAGGGATTTGAAAATTTTGTACACACATTTTTATACTAAATTTACCATCTAGAGGTGTTGAGGTAGCATCTTTTTTAAAAAAGAATACAATGTTTTAAAAACTAAGGGTTAAGTACACAATCGGTCCCTTCACTATAGGTGTTACTTTATTGAGTCCATTGACTATTAAAAGTTTTGACTATTAAAAGTTAAAGATGATCACTTGACTACTCATATGTTCTAAACACGTCGTTTTCCGTTAAAAATTAGTGGCCATCTGAGCTAAATGTTAACTGTTGACTAAGATATGGTAAAATCTAATCTCAAAACCGTTTGAGTTATATTTTGTGGATCGACTCTCTATTTGCATTATGTCGTCGAGTCAGTTCTTGAAAGAAACAACGATACTAATAAGCATCATTAAAATATGATTTTATCATATCTCAGTCAGCAAATTAACGTTCAGTTCAGACAGTCATCAATTTTTAACAAAAAGAACGAGTGTGAAATATATGAATAGTCAGATGATCGTTTTGTAAACATTAACAATTAGGAGACTCAATGAAATAACATCCTATAGGCAAATAATTATTTTGTAACTTTTAATATCAAGAAACTCAATCAAACAATACCTATAGTAAGGGGATAGTTTGTATACTTTATCTAAAAAATATTTGTCTATTTTAAAAAATAATTTGAGATAATCAAGTGTCGAATTTTTTTAAAAATATATATATACATATATTATTGAATTATCATTCTCATCTTATACTAACACTTAAAAATTTAATATAAGAGAGGGATCAAAATCATAATTCATCCATAAATTTTCGGAAGTAGTTGGCCAACATCTTTATCCTTATCCATTACTTGAAAGCATGCATAATTAATTAAATTAATACAAGGCTTATATTACAAATAAATACCTAATATCTAAATTATTTTTTTATCAGAATAAATACTATTATTTTTTTATCAAAATAAGTACTTAAATTATTTTATGTCAAAATATGTAATTAAACTATTTTAACATCTAAATTTTTTTAAAAAAGTTAAAAATGTGACATTAATTAAAAATATTTAGGTACTTAGATAAAAAAATTGAATACTTTAGGTACCTATTTTGACAAAAAAGATTTTAGGTATTCATTTTAATAAAAAACTTAAAATACTTATTTTGATAAAAAAAATACTTTATATATTTAAATGAAAAAGATAATTATTTATTATATAAGCCTTAATCCAATCCACATAATAGAAAATGGTTCCCCTAAACACATAATTGAAAAGAGAAAATAAAACGAGATGGGGAGTTGTTTATCTTCTTCTTGCTCCTGCAAAAACGCATCTCCGAACTCAGTTCGCCTGGTTCACTTCAATGGATACGTGGAGGACTTTGAGCATCCCATCACAGCGACTCAAGTCATCGGCAATCCCCCGGAGCAGTATCTCTGCACCCCCGCTCAGCTTTTGTCGACCGCTTCCCAGCCTTTGAACGCCGACGATCCACTCCAACCGGGGCAGCTCTACTTTCTGCTGCCGTGGTCGACCTTACAAGACGACGTTTCTCCTCTCTATATGGCGTCCGTGGTGAAGAGGCTTACGGCCCGAGCCAAATCCCATGACGGGTCGACGAGGATCAGACCGTTATCGGCCGTGAACGGCGGACGGATGAGAAGGGAGACGACGAGGTCATGGAAGCCGTTATTGGATACCATTAGAGAAGTTTCCTTTACCGGAAGGAGTGAATCCGATATACAAGCGATGCGTATTATTACATCAAATTAAGACCATCGTATGAACACACTCGAATTCCAATGGATTAATATGTTTATCTCTTTTCCTTACAATTTGTAAATAATTTTAATTATTTCTTAGTTTTTTTATAATTAAAATTGACATTATCTCCTCAATAAGTTAATGTTTATTTGTTTATCTTAGTGATTTATTTATGATAAAATTAATTTATTAGTGTGTTATTATTACTCTTCCGTCTCATAATTTATGTATGATATTGACTATGTACATAGTTTTAAGAAATATATTTGATCAAGAAAAACAATAAAATTATCCTAAAATGAGATTGATAATTTAATAAATTTATTTTGATATGTGTAAAAGAGTAGGTGATATAAGGGTAAAAAAGAAAATATAAGTGTTGTTATTTGTTAACTTTTCTAATAAGACATTTTGAATGAGGTAATTTTAAAAATCAAAAGAGACAGACAGAAAGAGTATTATATTTATTTCTACGTTTATATTAATAGTGTTTATCTTTTATCGTCATAATAAAATTTATTTATATCAATTTTTTTAGTTATTTGATTGAGGTTCTAATCATTTTCCTGTAATATTTTATTTATTTTTATTTTTTAGCTAATTAATTAGTTTGTTTATTTTAATAATTAAAAAAGTAATCTGCTAATTTTATAGTTTCTTTATAATTTATTGTATTTCATTTTTTGTTCTGTAAAACTTACCAGTATTATTAATTAAAAACTTCAATTGTATTACCAAATATCAAATGATAAGATGGGAACTTTTTTAATCTTTTATTGGGAAAGTTGACTCGCTAGTTGCCAACTAGCGATATTTTTATCTTTGTCATTAAATATAAATTGAAATTTATAGACGAACTGATAGAATTTCACAAGTAGGTTTGATTTCAGATAATTAAGTTTTGACCTTAAATATATAAATATAAATTTGACTTAATACAATAATAAGTGGCTTAAATTATGTCTGGAACTAGTGTATAAAGAATTTTTGCTTAACATTTTCTTGGTTATATTTTATGTGCTCACAGTTTATTTTTAAATTTTTTAATATTAAAAAATTATTTTTAATGAAAAATGTTTAGTTTATTTATAAAAAAGCTCAACGTTTTACTGAAATTATAAAAAAACTAAAATCTCTCATTTTAACCCCTATAAACCATCATTGGTCATCTCCGGCCACCATTTTCATTACCAAACGATCACCCACCCGTCGCCACCCATCCATTGATCAATCATCGTCCTTACCGTCACTCAAAACCTCTAAATCTAAAATCATATTTAAATCCCAAATTCCCAAATTCTGTTTCTTAACCTAAACGGTGGTCGGCCATCTCCGACTATCATTGTCATTGCCGAAAGTTGAATTTTGATCGGAATAGCACGGTGGTTCAAATGGTAGAGGTGGTGTGCCTTATGGACGTCGGAATCGACCGGAATTGACAAAGAATGACGACGACAACTTAAAATCCGATGAAACTTTGAACTCTTCTCCACGGTTTGTAGCATATTACGACGAAAGACCAACGAGGGTTGACGCTGATGACAGTGACGGTGACAGTCACCACTGATGAAAGTGGCGGTGACAGTCACCATTGATCGACCGACGACTTTCATAAGGAGAAAAGGTGGAAAGAGGGAAAGTGAAGAAGGGGACTGCTGCACAAAGGGGAGAGCTACTGGTTTTTTAATATAATTTTTTTATTTTTTAAATAAATTCTCAAAAATTACTAGAACGTGACAATTGTCATTTAACGAGGATTTTTAACGGCGGTTAACGTCCGAGCACCTAAAAGTGTAACGTTTAAAACATTAAACACATATTGTTAACAGAAAAATTCTTTAGGCACTAAAACTTTTTTCGATATATAGTTTAAGTACTTATTTTTGTATCAAATCTATAAATTATTCGTGACGTTAAATATCAGAATATTAACTAGCTGGTGAAGAGCCCTCTACTACCATGTAATCAGTCATACTAAATTTTTTTTAACTAAGTTTTACTTATTTTTATTTGAAATATCAAATATGAATATGTGCACTTGAGTCTTATCTTTTTTTTATATAAATTTTAAATCTAATATTGATCTTATTTATAGAAGATAAAAATGACTTTAGAAGAAAGAATAGAAGTGCTTATAGTAAGTCTAAAACCTATTATCTAAGGAAATATAATGAAATGAATAGTTTGACCAATCAATTTGTTGGGTTATGGGATCCAGCGATCACCCTTAGAGATTCTATCGTGTATGGGCGCGATATCAAGTGCTTGACAGCCCAACCTGCCGAGGCCCACGTGTGCCTTGCGAAGCCCTTAGGCCAGCCCACAATACGCTACAGATGCAGGGCTCTGCAATGCCGCGGTAAACTATAGGGGTGCCTCACAAGAATCCATCTTGGCTTGGGGGAACCAGTGATCACACGCTACAAAGATATGAGGTTAAAATGACCCACATACTTATCACTAATTGGTTTTAAGAAGGAATGGTGATTATTCGCTTTAGAACTCTATAGTTAAGCGTGCTTGAACTAGAGTAATCCAAGGATGGGTTACCCATTGGAAGTTGTTCGAAAATGAATGAATCGAACCTATCAAGTGGTATCAGAGTAGGTTGCAGGTTTGAATCCCCCAAGTGTCGCTGGGGGTGATTGTTGGGTTATGGGGTCCAGCGATCACCCTTAGGGATTCTATCGTGTATGGGCGCGATATCAGGAGCTTGATAGCCCAACCTGCAGAGGCTCACGTGTGCCTTGCGAAGCCCCTAGGCCAGCCTGCAGTACGCTATAGATGCGGGGCTCTGCATTGCCGAGGTGAATTGTAGGGGGTGCCCCACAAGAATCCACCTTAACTTGGAGGAAACCAGTGATCACCCGCTACAAAGATATGAGGTTAAAATGGCCTACCTACTTATCACCAATTGGTTTTAAGAAGGAATAGAGACCATTCGCTCCAGAACTCTATAGTTAAGCGTGTTTGAACCAGAGTAATCCAAGGATGGGTGACCTATTGGGAAGTTTTTCGAAAATGAATTACTCGATCCTATCAAGTGGTATCAGAGAAAGTTGCAGGTTCGAATCTTCTAGGTGTCGCTAGGGGTGATTGTTGAGTTAATCGATCAATGAATCGACCAAGAGGGGTGAATTGGCAATAAAAAATTTTGGTGGAAGCTTTTGTATAAAATTGAAAATATTTGCACAACGATTATAGTGGTTCGACTTTCTCAACCAAAGTCTACGCCCACTACCTTAGCTATCCACACTAAGGATTTTTGTTCTTTCTTTTGAGAACAAAGAGTAACCTTACAACTCCCTCAAGAATTATACCCCAAATTCTTGAGAACACTCTCTCCAAAAGAGAAGAATACAAATTTCGCAAACTTACAGAAAAACCTCACTAGGCAAGATGTTTGCACAATTCTAGAACAAAGAACGAATACTCAAGAATGAATACAATTGAGCTCGAATGGAGTTCTTGAAAGAAAAATGAATATTGAATGGAAAATAGGCTTGAAAGAAAAACTTCTTAATTGTTGTTAATCAATGGCTTCTAAGCTTGTTTAAATACACCTTAGATCACTTCTGAATGTTGGGAATCATTGTTGAAGTCAATAGAGCCGTTATGGTGTAATTATTATTTAAAAAAATATGTTGGGAGTGTAGGTGTATCGGTATACTCAGTGTAAAACTCAAATATTTCGACCGTTAGTTGACCTAGTGTATCGATACATCCTAGGTGTATCGGTACACTAATTACATTTGATGTTTCTCGGAGCCAGGAGTGTATCGATACATAGACTGTGTATCGGTACACAAAATGTAACATCCTAAAATAGGGCTAGTGACTAAAATGTGAATTTTGAAAGCTTTGTGTTTAATTTTGAAAAAAATAAAAGTTCAAGGACTTAATTGGAAATATTTTGTGAAGAATGGTTTAGTAAAGATTTAAAGAAAGAAGGGTAAAATAGTCATTTGACAAGAAAGATTTTTATCTTTCTTTTATAGGCTATAAACATGAGAAATGAGGGAAAAGTTTCCAGAGAATTATCCATTATTCTTCTTTCTCTTCACCGTGAGAAGCAAAGGTGAGTTTCCTTGTTTGTTGTTTATTTGTTGAATTTAAAGATGAGTTATGATCCTTGGATGATAAATAAGCTTAAGAAAAGTTTAGGTTGTCTTAAACCCATAAGATGGAGGAGTTATGAGAGATTAAAGATTAAGAGTTTTTGAATGAAATCTTAGAATAGAGTTCATTACTCGAATTGAAAGTTGAATTTGACTTGTCATCAGTCAAAATAAGAAATTCGAAATGATAGAAATGAATTTGGAACATATTGATTTATTGGTTTAATTATTGAATCCAAACATGTTTATGGGATATGGGATGTTATGATGAGCTAAAGTGAAAAAAGTTGATTTGTGTAAGTATAGTTAAGTCTCTAGGGAAAGAAGGTTAAGAAAGAAGAATTAAGTAAGTTTGAGTGAATTTTCGGGTGAAAACAGTCTGTTCTGGGCAGGGTGTATCGGTACACTATGAACAGGTACCGATACACTAAGACCAATTTTGAAGAACATCTTCATGGTGTATCGATACATTAAGGAGTGTATCGATACCCCCTTAAAATGAAAAGTTTCGAATGTAATTTGTGTACCGATACATAGGCAGTGTACCGATACACCAGTGAAGGGATGTATCGATACCCTATAATGTGTACCGATATACTTCAAAGGGAAAATGGAAATAAATCTTTCTTTTAGTTTAAGAAATGAAAATTAGAGTATGCCAAGTGGAATATTGATATGTATATTATATGTGTGATTGTGTAGAGATTAATCAAGAGCAATATCCGAACAAGGTGTCAAGTAATAGCCATAAAGAAAATATAAGGAATTGATATTGACTAGTGAGGCCAGGTGAGTGCATATTCGTTAGTTTATGATGCTTAATGGAAATAAGACTTGCGACAAGTCTATTTCCTATGGTAGCATGTATGAGTTCATAAATATAAGTATGTGTTTGTTATGATTTATATATGTGCATGAGTATATGT